ATCAAATTTTAAATTAATCCTTCCTCACACTGACATTATTTGATTAATGTATATTGGTATCTTCACAAAAAAATTAAATACATGAGTCAGCACAATTAGAACTTATACCAACTAGAAACTAATGCCAAAACTTATTTTGTTACACAGAGAAAAATGTACATTGCAAATCAGTTGGATATTATAATTTAAATTCCTGTCTGTTACATGGTAAGTTCTGAAGAAAATTTTTAAAAGAATCAAGATTTCTTGATAAGAAAAATAAATCAGACTGTAAATGTCAGTTCTCCAGGACAATATATCTCATTCATTCACTTTAATCAAGCATATAAGGATTTGTTTTATTCAACAAATGGCTTCTACTCTTATCTATAATAAAGAGAGTGAGGAAAGGAACAGATGACAACATCAATGATAACCTATAGTCTCATTTTGGCTACTGGATCCAACCTTTTCCTTAAGTAAACTCTTCATTTCAAATTATCACAAGAACAGACACATGGCCTGAACATCAGCATTTTAAATCTCTTTCTCTTTCAGGTAGCAATGTTAATAGCTGGGAAAAAACCAGGAAGAGAGATGGCCAAAGTACTAGATGACATTTAATTCGCTACAGGCTATTGAAAAACTGCATTTTGCCCTGGCTGGTGTGGCTGAGGGGATTGAGTGCCAGCCTGCAAACCAAAGGGTCACCAGTTCAATTCTCAGGCTAAGGCATATGCCTGGATGGCAAGCCAGGTCCCCAGAAGGGGGCACATGAGAGACGTAACCACACATTGATGTTTCTCTTCCTCTCCTTCCCTTCTCCTATCTAAAAATAAATAAATAAAATCTTTAAAAAAGAAAAACTGCATTTTATAGGATGAGGAAGCTATAGCTTAGAGGCTATAACCTGCACAAAGATACACAGCTGGGTTAATAGCAAAGTCAAAAGCAGATTTTAGGTCTTCTGATTCTGAGTCAAATGCTCTTTCCAGTATGTCATTCCACTGGTCAGATTAGGTAACTGGGGGGAAAAAATGTGAAGCTTTCTCAATGTAAATATATGCTCTATATCGGCTTAGAAATTACACCTAGTTTTATGCATTCAATTTCATTCTTTTTTTAATTACTGAAATTATTGAGAAATGTCAATATGAAAACCCACTTGTTTTTACCTCTGCTTAATATAGTCTTTCCCTCCTCATTTCATCTTAGGAAGTAAATATTTTTATAATGGAAAATGATTACCTTATTGCACATAAAAATCCCCATCAAAACAAAATCCTATAAACATTACTCATAACGTAGGAGACTAAAAGGGTAATTCTACTTTAGATCCACCCTAAATATACTGAACACTTTGTAATGATATTTAATTAATTTATACCATTTCATATGGGAAAATTGAATCCAAGGTCAATTCAACTTCAAAAAGTACTGAGTCAGAGAGTAATTACCAAATCAAAGTAAAAAAAAAACAAGTATTTCAAGACTTTGAGACTAAGCACATTTAGGCATACCAAACAAAGTTAAATCTCCGTAGCCTTCCAATATTACCCTGACACCATAACCAGACAAAAATAAATTATTGGTCAATATCCTTGATGAACATAAATGCTAAAATCCTCAACAAAATATTAGCACACTGAATATAGCAATACATTATAAAGATCATACACCATGATTTAAGTGGGATTTATTCCCGGATACAAGGTTGATTCTGTATCCACAAATCAATTAACATGATAAACCACATGAACAAAATGAAAGATAAAATAATACGGTATCAGTAGATGCAGAAAAGTATTTGACAAAATGCAACATCCATTTATTTGCTCACTCTGTTTCAGCAAAGTGGGGACAGAATGATCATACCTCAACATAATTTAAGGCCACATATCACAAACCCACAGCTAACACCATACTCTACAATGGAAATCTGAAAGCTTTCTGTTTAAGGTCAGGAACAAGACAGCATGTCCACTTTCAATACTTTTATTCAATATAGTGTTGAAGGCTAGCCACAGTATTCAAACAAAAAGAAAAATAAATAAAAGACATCCAAATTGGAAAGGAAGAAGTCAAACTGTCATTATTTACAGATTACATGCCACTATATATTGAGAACCCTGAAGATTTCACCAAAAAACTCTTCAAACTGATAAACAAATCCAGTAAACAGCAGGACACATTAATATTCAGAAATTGGTTGCATTTTTATCAAAAACAAACTATCAGAAAGATAATAAAACAATCCCATTCACAACTGCATGAAAAAGAATAAAATCCTTAGGAATAAACTTAATCAAAGAGGTATAAGGCTTGTACTCATAAATGTGTAAGACACTGAAGAAAGAAATTAAAGAAGATACTAATAAATGGAAGGATATACTGTGCCCATGAAGTGCAAGAATTAATATTGTTAAAATTTCCATATTACACAAACCAATCTACATATTCAACGCAATCCCTATCAAAATACCAATGGCATTTTTGATAGAACTAAAACAAATAATCCAAAAATTTATATAAAACCACAAAGACTCCAAAAAGCCAAAGCAATCTTGAGAAAACAGGACAAAATTGGAGGTATCATGCAACCTGTCATCAAACTATATTACAAGGTTATAATAATCAAAACAGCATGGTATTGACATTCAACATAGACACAAAAATCAATGGAACAGAACAGAGAGCCCCGAAATAAGCCCATGCCTGTATCTATGACAAAGGAGGCAACAATATATTGCATACAAAGGGGTAAAAGACAGTCTTTTCAATAAATGATGTTGGGAAAACTGGACAAATACATGCAATAGAGTGAAACTGGGGCCATTTTCTTAAACTGAAAATGGATTAAAGACTTAAACATAAGACCTGAAATCATAAAACTGTAGAGGAAAACAGAGGCAGTAAACTCTTTGATATAGGTCTTAGTAAATTTTTTTGGATATGTTTCCTTGAGCAAGAGAAATGAACAAATAAATGGGACTACATTAAACTAAAGAGTTTTTGTACAGTGAAGGAAACCATCAGCAAAACAAAAAACTTACTGACTGGAAGAAGATATTTGCCAATGATACCTCCAATGAGGGGTTAATATTCAAAACTGATAAGGAACTCATACAACTTAACACCAAAAAACAATCAATCTGATTAAAAAATTGGCAGAAGACCTGAATAGATATTACTCTCAAGAGGACAAAGAGATGGTCAATAGACATATGAAAAGGTGCCCAAAATCACTGATCATCAGAGAAATGCAAATTAAAGCCAATATAAAATATCACCTGACACCTGTCAGAGTGGCTATCATCAATAAATCAACATACAACAAGTGCTGTCAAGAAGTGTGGAGAAAAGTGAATCCTTGTGCACTGTTCATGGGATTATAAATTGGTGCAGCCACTATCAAAAACAGTATGGAGGTCCTCAAAAACTTAATAAACTACATGACTCAGCAATTCCACTTTTTGAGTATTTATCTGAAGATGATCAAAACACTAATATAAAAAGATACATGCTCCCCATGTTTACTGCAGTGTTATTTACAGTAGTCAAGAGAGGGAAGCAACCTTAGTGTCCATCGATATTTGAATGGGTAAGATAAAAGTGGAACCTACATGCAATGGAATATTACCCACCCATAAAAAGAATGAAATCTTGCCATTTGTGACAACCTGGATGGACCAAGAAGGATATTATGCTAAATGCAATAAGCAGACAGAGAAAGACAAATACCACATATTTGAAGTTATTATGCTAAGTGCAATTAGACACAGAAAGACAAATACCATATGACTTCACTTATATATGAAATCTAAAATACAAAATAAGCAAACTAAACAGAAACAAACCCATCGATTCAGTAAACAAATTGATGGTTGCCAGATGAGAGGGGGGTTGTGGAGATAAGTGAAAACAGTGAAGGGATTAAGAAGCACAAATTGCAGCTATAAAAACAGACACAGGGATATAAAGTACAGCACAGGAAATACAGTCAATAATACTGTAATAAATGTATATGGGGTCAGATAGTCACTAGACTTATTGGGGGGACTCCTTTTTAAGTTATATAAATCTCTAACCACTGTTTTGTCCACCTGAAACTATTACAATATTTTATGTAATTGAAAAATTTTTTACATTTTAAAAATTTCTCAGTGGACTCCTATATAATTATTCAATTATTTTGTTGAAAATAAGGTATCAAAGAATTTTCCCCAAATATCGTATAAAGATCTAAATTAAAAAAATTCTTCTAGCTCTTTGAGAAAGATAAGTCGCAGCTCCACCTAAGCTCCATCAGCCAGCCCTTCCCCCGACTCGCTGCTGTTTACTCTCACTTGTGTTTACTCTCACAAGTCCTTAGGAGGCCATGCCACAGGCACAGTTTAAAGATACTAGAGAGACGCCCGTGGAACCAGAGGGGGCAATTCACCAAATTAGAATTACTCTAACCAGCCGCAATGTAAAGTCTTTGGGGTAGGTGTGCGCTGACTTGATAGGAGGCGCAAAGGAAAAGAATCTCAAAGTGAAAGGACCAGTTCAGATGCCTTCTAAAACTCTGAGAATCGTTCACTACAAGACAAACTCCCTGCGGGGAGGATTCTAAGACGTGGATCAGTTTCAGATGAGATCCGGAGCAACTCATTGACTTGCACACCCCTTCTGAGATTGTTAAGCAGAGTCCTTCCATCAGGATAGAGCCGGGAGCCACGGTTGAAGTCACCATGGCAGATATTTAAATCAATCTTTCTAAAAAATTGACCATTAGTTGTTAAAAAAAATTTCTTCTAAAGTTTCTTAAATTACTAAGGACACTATTAAATTATATTGGGAGATGTTAACTTCAGTTTTACAAATTCTCAATGGTAAGAATATCTTATTTCAATAATACAGCATTTATAATACTCAAAAATACTTTCAGAGATAGAACCTAGATCCCAAATTAAAACTGTCCAAATCTATCCTAAGTGTCTCTCTTTGGAAGACTGCTCACAGGAAAAGGAGACATGTACCTTTCCATGACAGCCAGGCACTCCTTTCTCCAGGTAAATCGACTCCCTCGTCGTAGTCGGAAGGTGCCAGACGTAGCAGACACTGGGGGAGGCGTTTGTCTCCATTCAGGGTCTTCTATTGGAATAGGGGCTGGTCTCATACTTAGCGTAGCCCCTGAAATAAACAAGGTATTTTTAAGAAATATCTTATAATTTATTAAAACCAATATAATAAGTATATTATGAAATCAACAACAATAAGCTTTTGTCCCTCCACTGAAACTTGCGGGCCCAATACATGTGATATTTACATTTTTAAAAAAATAAAAAATTATTTGACCAAAATAAAAATCCAAAGAAACAAAATACTATTCCTTAAAAAAATCATTAATTATAATTTTTAAAATGTCTTTTTTCCCATCAGGTTGTCATTTGTATTTTATCTGTGTCATTTTTTTGAAACAAAGCTTAAAATGTATCTCTTTTCCATCCCTGGCCAGGTAGCTCAATTGGTTAGAGTGTTGTCCCGATAGGCCAACATTGCGGGTTCAATCCCAGGTTAAAGACATATAAGAATCAATCCATAGAAAAATCAATCAATAGATGCATAAATAAGTGGAACAACAAATCAATGTTTCTCTCTCTCTCTCTCTCTCTCAAAGGAAAAAATTAATAAATAAAAATTTATGACTTAAAACATATGGCAAACTATGGTGTGTTGCCATAGTTTAGTTTTATTTGAGCCTTGGCTGAATGCATGAATAAGTGGAACAACAAAAATTAATGTCTCTTTCTCTTCCCCTTTCCTCTCTCTAATATCAATAAATAAAAATAAAGTTTTATTTGAACACAGCCATATTTATTCATGTACATACTGTCTTTTTTTCCCCCCCACTACAATGGCAGAGTTGAGTAGATGTGACAGAGACCACATAGCGCACAAAGCTTAAAATATTTGCTATCTGACCCTTAACAGAAAGTTTGCTGCCGATCCCTGGTTTAAAAAATTTCTGGCCCACATACTATGAAACTAAACTGAAACCCTTTTTTAAAGCAGTTCAAGAAAGAGGGTTTCATTCTGCCAAGATAACTTGACAATTCAGTCTGGGCCTAATTCAAAGTTAACAGTTTAGTCATGAGAAGGAACTATGGAGTTGGGAGGTTTAAAAATCTTTGTTTTAGTATCTTCCTGAATGCAAACAGGAATTACAGCCTGACAAGGGCACTGGATCTATCTAAGTAGACTACTTAAATTTTGTTCTATAGCTATGATAAAAGGTCCCTAACAGAGCCAAGCTATTATCACGGTTCATCAAGACAGAGGTAGAAACAAACGCTGGGTAAGGCAGCAGGCCCTCTCACCCAATGCCTGGCTCTGATAAAACAATAGAGAGATTTGGGGCTTCAGTGGGTGGAGGTCAGGGAATGGGTCAGTGAATTCCAAGAATTATAGTACGCCACATCTGTATGTATAGCATGCTTTCTTAGTTAAGTAAAGTGATAAATAAAACCAAGAATACAAAAAACTTAATCCAATCATGAGGTTGAAGGAAATAAGCCAATTGATAATAATGGTTCCTTATTGGTACTGGGGTTAATTGGTAACATAACTATGCTTCTTTATAATATTCTGTGTTGTTTAGATGTTTTATTAAAAAATTAGATGAAATAAAATTTGTCACAAAGGAAAAGAAAGGGGAGAGGAGGAAGGAGAAAAACAGGAGAGACAGATGTGAGTAGTGGCTTGGTTACTTTAAAATAAACAAGGCAATTTATGCACGAAAAGTGGAAATTTTGAATAATTTCAAAATTGTAAACATACTTCATTTGAAACATAACATATTATCACTTTACTTTTGAGGGTTTTTTTCCCCTTTTTCTTTTTTCAATGTAGCAGTATTTAAAAATAGCACAAGAAGTACTCTGGAAACACTCCAATAAACAGAAATTTGTTCTAGAAAATTTGGTTCATCTTGCTTTGTTCAAAATGGATAGAGAGCAATGAATAACCCAAGAAGGGGTTCAAAATTATTGACTTTGACAAAAAAATATAAAGATACTTGTGTGCAGAACAATGCATGTAAGACTTCAAACTCCTCTGAAATAAAGTATAGGAGTTCTGGGTTTTTTAAACAACCAACTTTTTTTTTCTTAGAGGAGGCGTGTTACCTATTTTCTTTACAGAAACATTTTTTCCCCCACATTATATTTGGGCTCCCCGTAGGACAAAATTTTGCAGATTTATCTATCAAACTGAGAGGGGGAAAAAAACCTCTTCCTAATTTATTGATAGATTTTAAAATTCTGATAAATGTATTCTTTGTATATATAATTTTCTTATCAGGGTTATTTCTAGGTGAGCCTTATGAGGGTTACTTCTGGGTGAATCTTCACCAATCGGCTGTTAAAAGGATGATTACAAGCAAGCCATTACAACGCTGTTCATAGAAGCCAGCCTCTCCGGAAGTAATTTCTTAACGGCCCCCCTGTCACACGATTTCCTTGAGGCTCTGACACTGCAGCAGCGAAGGGAGGAGGCATTACTTCTGTTCTCCAAGTTTACTTCGTGTGCTTGCTGAATAAGCCTCTTGGCAAACTTTATTTAATTGTTTAGTTTAAAAATATGCAGAATCTGTGCCATGAGCCAAGAGGAACTCAGCAAATCCTGTCTGCTATAGTAATGTTTAAATTAGACAAGGGAAAAGACTGTTGAGCTTAATTTGATTAAATAAAGGAGCTTTTGATGTCAACCATGCTGAATTTAGTACTCACTCCTTTTTAAAAAATAGGCATTTTCTTGTAAATGTTTTCATAAGAAACAAGATAAAATGTTTGTGATCACTTTCCATATTATTTTATTCATATGCTTTGGCAGGCTTTGGGTTATGCTGGGAAATTCTGATGATGGTTCTGTTTATCAGAGAATTATACTACATCTATGTGTATTGGATTATCAGTAAAAAAATAACCTAAATATCCATTCTATTATTTTCCTTGCTGAGTCTACTTAAAGAGACTGATAAAGCCACCGCCACCAACAAAAACCATTATCCAAATGGATTCAGAGTGGAGAGACTGAAAAAGGAGAAGACCTTTAATCAAGGTATACAGAGAGAAATATTCTGAGCCCAGGAATAGAGAATGTACAAACATTTTTTGTTTTCAAAATGCTTAAAGTTATATAAACAAAGTATTTTTTTTCATTTTGTGAGTTTTCCTTAATTTTGAAATTTTTTATCAGAATATATGCAAAGAGATGGTAACAGTTACATTTCTTTTGATGAGCTCTCTATCCTGGACAAAAAATTTATGAAATAAAAGAACTACCTCCCAATAAAAATTAGTGACATATTTTTTACCTAACAGCCTCTCAAAAAAAGCAGGTCTGTGCTATGTGAACCTAGGGTCTTGGTTTTTTTGTATCTTGAAAACTGTTAACAAAGCAGACTAATTTTTTTCGCCTCCCCCCTCCCTCCTTTTTCATTATACATTTATTTTTTGAATATATAGTACAAATACATGGTGCAAAATTTAGAAAGACACAAAAGGTTATTTAATTAACAGTCTTTCAGGTTCCCTCCACAAAGCCACTGTTACCAGTACTAATACAGCCTTCTACAGACGTTCGGTGTTTATGTTAGGTAGGCACGCGGGCGCACACACGCGCGTGTGTGTCCCTATATAAATAGCAATATGTTAGATTCATTGTTTTGTATCTTACATTATTCACTTACAAATTCTATATTACCACACATAAGTCCAATTCATATAAAGTCACCTTTTTGAAAAAGATAACTATATAGCTTCCACAGGAATTTATGTAACCAGTTCTTGACTAGGGACATTTAGGTGGATTCCAATCATGTTTGCAATGACATGCTGAAGATTTTGATGTATTATAAGCAACTACTAACTATACAGTGGATGATTAGCTATTAGATGCTAACATAATTTTAGTTCATCTTATCCAAACAAAATAGTAGTTTCAAAGCGTCCATGGAGTAACAAGAAATAATATAATTCTTTAGCTAAAATCAAAAGTTAAAATCCAAGGCTTTTGGTCAAGATGGCAGTGTAGGGTAAATATAATACTTACATCCTCCCACAACCACATTGAAAATATAACTAAACTACAGAACAACCATCAGTCAGAACTGCCTGAAGTCTAGCTCAATGGTAGTCCTACAACTAAGGATATAAAGAAGCCACATTGAGACTGGTAGGAGACTGGTAGGAGACTGGAATGGGTAAGTCCCATGTGGCAGATAAAAATAGGGAGGCCTACTTTGGCTGCAGAAGTCCCCCCTGAGGAGCAAGAAGGTCCCAGGCCCCCCCCACCAGGCACCCCAGCCCAAGGTTCTGGTGCAGGGAAGAGAAGCCCCCCTAGCTTCTGGCTGTAAAAACCAGCAGGGATTGTGGCGGAGGGAGATGGAGTGCTTCTGGAGACCCAGGCATTCCTCTTAAAGGGCCTGTGCAAGGACTTGCTTGGACTCACTCCCTCTGAGCTCCAGTGCTAGAGCAGCCACTCAAAAACCACCAGGGACATACCAGGAGGAAATAAAATGTGTGTCATGAGGGAAAGAGCTGGAGGAACAGCTTTCTCCCAGACAAACGTGCTGGCAGAGGCCACTGTTCCTTTTCTGAGACCCTCCTGCCCTCACTGAGCCAGCAGTCAGGTGCCGTATTTGAGACTCCATTAACCTGGCTCATACTGTTCACCCTGCTCTGGTTATTTCCTGGAATCCATCCCACCAGCTTGCTGGGCCACCCAAGCAGTTTCCAGTGGCTTTTCCATATAAATGGCCTGTCTTGGCTCATGCTTCAGACTTTCCTAAAATCTCTCAAATAAACAGCATTGGCCTCACTGTGCCCTGTACCTCTTGCTAAGTAGCCCCAGGCCTGACACTAGCAGTAGCTGGCCTTGGCTTGCAGCTTGGCTTCTACTGGGCACTAGTAGCAGCCATCTACAGCTCACTCACGTCAGGCAGCCCTGGACAGAACACAGGCAGTGGCTGAACTTGGCTTGTACCTCCTGGGAGGTCCCAGAGTCAGCACACCCAGTGGACAGCTTCAGGCCATATGAAAGCATCACCCAACCATCTCTACAAGTGACACACTTCAGAGGCAGACTCAGCAGGCACCAGAGCCCTGCTGAAGTAAGTCTTGCTCTGTGCG